CATAAATTCCTCAAAATCTCAATGTAGGATCAGTGGCTCACCCTCATGGAAAAAGTTTTTTTGAGATCACCTCCACAGAGGGTGTCAGAGGCTGATATGTTAATATTTTCTGCAATTAAAACTTGTGAGCATAATATCTGTGCATAATTTGTGAAAATATATGTATTGTCATAGTTACATGTTAAGTTAAAAATATGTCATATTTGACTACCAGTCTGAATGTATTTCCCACTGTGGCTGTAACCTAGTGCTAATAATCATCTTTCATTTTGACTTTCAGAGGTGTTGAAGCTCAAGCATTGCCACCTCAAATCACAGCTGGAAATACTACAGATAATGTGGAGGAGAACATGACATTGCATAGCACCAATGATACTACAAGACATGCTGGTCACACAGCATCCTTTCAATCATCAGAACCAACAATTACTGGGCAACATCACCACAACAGACAAAATATGCAGTCAGGTTTACTTCAAAGTGATAATCAGACTTGCTTAAATTCTGGGTTGGTTATTTCACAGCATAGCAGACATCAGGCTGTGAGAGAGACCACACATACACAGCAAACACACCCTCAGCCAAGCATGACTGAGGAAGAGGCATGGATGGAGGAAGAGATGGATGTTGATGATGATGATATCCTAGATGAGGAATTACTACAACAACTTGACCAGATTGAACAGCGTGAATTCAGGTACATGTAGTTAACAGTTTTCATCCTTGTCTCAGTGACCATGGGACTGCCATTTTTAGCTACTGTGTGTGATCCATTTATGGAGTAATGTTGTAATGAAATATTCCTTCACCGATATGTCAAGAGACATTGGGTGGATTGAAATGAAACTTGGTACACAAGTACCGTTATTATATTTTGACCACCAGACCTTATTACATTTTGTTATAAATCTGAACATGATATTCAGGTTATTTGCATAATACACCAGTACATGTGTATCTTTGTCTACATGTAGGTGCTTTGCAGCTGATTATTCTGTGCATTTAATTAGCTTATCGTAAAAACTCTTAATTCGTGGTAGTAAAAATAATTGTTTGGATTGAGTGAATTGATAGGTTGCATTTTGCTTTGTTCAATTAGAAGCATTTTTTTGACAGTGCATCAAACATTACAAAACATTCTTGCTAGCTCTGGGTTTGAATATTCATTGCGATAAAATCCTGGAACAAACAAACAAAACAACCCTTTTCAGGGCCACCCACATCCTCAAAAAAACATATATACCATACCAGATGATCAGCACATGGTACTGTGATTTTAAGAACACTTGACTAGCAGTACAGACTTGGGTTTGTTTTGTTGAAAAAGTTTAGTGTTCTGAAAACTCCACTTATTTGCCAAATGTGGTAATAGGATAGGATAGGATAGGATAGGATATTTTATTTGGAACGTACACAAAAACAATGCTTGAGTAAAGTCCAACGTAAGAAACATACAGTATCACAACTAAACTAAAATAATTTTAAAATCTGAAAAACAAAATTAGCTAAAATACTACAAATATATTTGTCTACACTAGAGAAAACATTAATAAACAATTCTCCATTTGGTAATGTTTGATAGTCAGGTGAGTATTTGAACAATGTATAGAGGAATTTTTTTCTGTGTTCAGAAAAACTGTCACAATGAAAAAAGTAATGTTTTTCATCACCCACATCCTTAGAGTTGCATACCCTGTCAATTTTATTTATTCCCCTGTGACGGCCTATTTCAATTGGCAAGAAGTGGGCTGAAATACGAAATTTGGTTAATGCTACTCTGTGTTCTTTGTTTTTTATATCATCCAAGTATTTTTCAAATTTATAATTATTTTTGAATGTTTTATAAGTACTTAGTTTATTATGACCAGTTTTGTTCAACTGACTTTCCACATTTGTTGAGTAAATTTGGTTTAACTTTTCTTTAAACAGATTGCAAAAATTTGCCTGATTAGTATCCGTGTTTGTCATATTTGTAATTTGTAGAAGTTTTT